TATAAATTACCTCAAGAATAAGTTCTTTAACAGTCGCATTGTTTAAATTATGACAAGATTTTAACGCGAGTGATTGTTTTGAACTTTTCCAATTTGCACGATAGACTTTTCGAAAACTGCCCGTACCTATCTTTTGAAAATTTCCAAAATGTTTGTACTCATAGAATTTGATATTTGTTCTTAAAATATAATCATCGAGCCAATTAATCGACTCATTTGAATTACTATCAGTTTGCATTTTGCTTTATTTTATAGCGAGAGAAAGTGGGGAAATGCAACTTTGGTAGGTCATGATACCAAATTAATAGTTATTTCGATGATCGGCAAGTAACACAACGCCCAAGGGCTGAAAATTGTCAAAAATACTGACCATTATAGGTTAATTTGAAATGCTGCGGCGGCGGTTGTAGCAATTTATTTGCTAGTGACGAGTTTAAAATTAAAAAATTTTGCTACGGAGGCGAACAATTTTTTTTTTTTTTTAAAAAAAAAAAAAAACTTTCTACGGAGGTGACGAATTAAAAAAAAAAAAATAATTTTACTCTACGGGCTATTTTTTTAAGAATTTTATTTTTAAAATCTTAAATAAAATAAAAAAAAAAAAATCTAATTAAACCAATATGAACTTTAATTAAGAATTAAATTCCAACTTTCTATTCTTATTTCCAAAGGCATTACTAAAATCTAATTCTTCGAACTATCATTAAAAATATATAATGAACCATTATTTGAAGTCTAAGGTTAAAATCGGATCAGAGGTAAGTCCTAATAAGGAATTTTTTTAGTATTTTTTTTTTTTTTTTTTATTTTTATTTTTATTTTTTTAAAAAAAAAATAAACTTAAAATTGTAGACCAAATCCGGATCTATAAACTTGGAAAGGCTCCTCGGGGCAAAGACCCAAAGGCTGAAAAATTTTACGAGTAAAAATATTAATTTCAATAAAATTTGAAACATACAATATATTGAACAATGTATCACATGATAATCAACGAATGAATTAAACAATAGCAACACATCTGTATGGATTATTTTCATCAAAATAAAATCGTACTTGATCGTTTTGCATCTATTTATATCATAAATAATTATTTAAATAATTTCCTGAAAATCACGACTTAAAATAAGTATTTTCAAATCCTAATTTGTAGAATACTGAAATGATTATAATAATAAAAAAAAATGATATAGGATAAGATTATTTTAAATAAGACTATCGTTTAATTTACAATCTAATTAGTGCAGGATATATATTTGTAACTCGAAAAAAAAGTCAAATTTGAGAATGTCTACCTATGATAACTTTTATGACATAATATTTTAAAGCAACATGAAGAGATGAAATTCTTAATAGTTTTGATGATTTGCAAAAGTTGCTTGTAATTCCGATAATTATCAACAAGAACTTTGCAATTCAATTTCTCATCTTAATCTTGAATTTTTTCTTTAAAAAAAAAAAATTAAATAAATAATTGAATTGTTATTTATGACGCGGCGATTTTTGGGTTAATAAAAAATAAATAAAATTGTAAAATAACAAAATATACATTGCAAAGAAAATTATTATTTACATTTTATGATAATAATTTCAGTTTCGAGTAATTCTAGCATATATTTAAGGAAAGACAATTGTTTATCATATTTTTTATACTTGCATGTATTGTATTGTATAAAATTTTACTATAAAAAAATTTAAAGAATTTGCAATTTTTGAAAATACTGTTAGACAGGTTAGTACGAAAAATCTAAAAAAAAAACTAATTTCCTGGCCCAATGTTGGAATTTTTTTATAATTACGTCTCAGGCCTCCTATTTTTTATTATAGACGTACTTACTGCGCAATTAAATAATAAATATGTTCTTTTTTATATTCGATTTTCGAATTATTCTATTTAGGTACGATCTTAGAAAATGATCCGTACCTTTTATCCACACGCTTTGAAAAGTTTAATTTAAATCCCTTAACGAAATTTATGTATATATAACATTTAATAAAATCTAAACTTATTTGGATTTCAATATACTGTAGAAGAAAAAAAATACATGCAACGCCTTTCTACTTTTGTTTTGTTACTATATCTCATTCCTCACAATGGACATAAAATAAAAAATTCGATTAACAAATAAAAAGCTCGATGAACAAAATAAGAAAATCAAGCGTGTAGAAATCAAAATTGAATGTATCACTCGAGATAATATCAAAAAAGAATTTGGAGAGATCAATTTGTATGATGTTGTACGACTTTCCAATCCAGAGGAAATGCTTTTAAGTGAGAAACGTGAAGCTTGTGAAATTAATAAATCTAGAATATGCTTTGTGAAATCGTGTTTGTAAATTATATTTATGAAAGTCATTAAATGAAGTAATATTGTATTAAAACATTCCGTATAAAGTTAATTTACAGGTAGCTTTTTGCAGAATTCAAAATTAATAATTGTTTAAGGATAGTATTATAACTGCCGAAGTTATCCTTACACGATATAAATGACAAATATATCAATAGTTTAAATAATCTTACGTTAGACGTAAAAGATAAATGCAGAAAATAAATATAAATGAAAGTAATTTATTTAAAATTGTGTAATTTGCTATTTTATATAGTATTAGTAAATTGTTTCAATAAATTAAACCCCTTACCTCCCAATAAAAATTTACATCTAATCGGTCAATTAGCCAACCACAATTGGGAATAATGCTTAATACTGCAAACATCATATCATAAACGAGCGACTGCTGTTAAATAATGGAATAGTTTAAAAATTATAATAAAAATGAACATTACCATATGTTATAATATTATATTTTAAATTGAATCTGTCTTTATTTAGCTACCATTTTATGGTATTTAAGAATTTGACGTACAGTTAGGGTTGCCTATTTCAATAACAAATTTATTGTAAAATCAGACTACAAAAAAAGGATTGTACAAGTGCCTTTGTCAGTTAATAACTCGATTGGAATTATCAGTTAAATGATACAATGATTAAGTTGTGTACTTGGAAGATTATTAATCACTGGATAGTAAAGAGAATGTGTCTTCTTAATTATGTTAATTGTACATAAAAATAGTCACAATTAATATTTCAGGAATCAATTTTACTTTAAATGTTGGGAATTTCTGATGGATGAAGTTTGCATTCAGCCAAATTTCAAATTTGCACTACATGCTTCAAGCTTATTTTTGGTGATTTTTTACACCAATAAAATGAACTTAGTCGTAATTTGATTGGATGGCACGATGTATTTATCTTTTTTTTTTTTTAACATTATATACAGTTTATGCCATATAGATGTTGGTGTCAGGTGATTCTACTTTTTATATAGTGGAAGCTATGGCCATTCCCAAAAAGGAAGGAATAGATATAAATTTGGTTAGCTTTATGCAGGAACTATGGGGGCCGTCTTTATTTATATTGATATCAATATTGATAGGAACAACGGTTGTTTATATGATTTTTTTTAAAAAAAAAAAATTGGGACTGAATGATTACGATTACTAATTAAAATAATGAAAGAATTCGCCAAAAAAACATATATACTGTAGTAACGAAAATCCTGTTTCATCTGATAATTTCAGCCAAAGGGATGATCTGATCTAACCTAAGAAAAAATAAAAAAAAATCACCAACGATCCAACCTAAAACTGCCTAAAACAAACAAATAATATAAAATAAATAAAATTAGTAATCAAATTAATTACCAAATAAGAAAGAAAAAAAAAACAATAAATCAAAAAAAAATTAGTCAGCTCACCTTAGCCTCCCGTTCGAAGGTTCTGTCCGATTTTTAGCCTAAGAGATGGTAGAGATGGCACCAAATTAACCTAAAATATATAAGAATAAAAAAAAATATTTAAAAAAAAAGAAATTATTTAAAATTAGTCAGCTTACCTTCGTCGCGATGACAAACCGATCGGTTCCGTTCAAAGGTTTCTAGCTAAGTGGAAGAACCAAACCTAAAAAAAATAAAAGAATAAATAAAATATTATAAATAAATAAAAATAAATATAAACTAAATAAATAAATAAAAATAAATGGCTTATATTCACCTCGGTGACGAACTGGACGGTTCTGTTCAAAGGTTCCATCCGGTTCTTAGCTAAGTGAAGGAACCGCCTAAAAAAAAATAAAAAAAAAATAAAAAAGAAAAAAAAAGAAAATTTGAGTCAGCTTACCTTCGTCGCGGTGACAAACTGGACGGTCCCGTTCGAAGGTTCCGTCCAGTTCTTAGCCAAAGTGGGGGAACCAATCAAACCTAAAAATTAAAAAAAAATGAAAATGAAAAAAAGAAAATTCGAGTCAACTTACCTTCGCCGCGGTGACGAGCCGGTCAGTTTCGTACGAAGGTTCTTTCCCATTCTTAGCCTAAGTGAAGGAACTGATCGAACCTAAAAAAAAATAAAATAATTAATAAAATATTAAAAAAAAAAAAATATTAATAAAAACAAAAAAAAATTAAAGAAAAGAAAAAAATATCAACGGCTTACCTTTCGCCGTGGTGACGAACTGGACGGTTCTCGTTTGAAGGTTCCGTCTGGTTTTTAGCCTAAGTGGGGAACTGATCGAATCTAAAAAAAATAAAAAATTTCTTTAACAACACATAAATCTTTGGTGTAATCAAATTACAACCTAATAGCACTATGGCTAATTATAGTATCATCGTGTAATAAGCCAAAATTATTTACAGAACATTGTCGCGATCAATAATAAACAAATTATGATTAATGTGATATTTATACTTTAAAAAAAAGATTGCAAAGGTCAAATTGAATCGCGAATTATTTCTCCACAATGCTTAATTTACAATACAAAGGTTTCTTCTTATTCGTGATATGTACCACGGAAGATTAAATATTTTTGCAAAAGAATTAGTATTAGCCTTAATGCTTTATTCATAACTACTAATCCTGCAAGGTTAATAGCATATATGATCGTTATTATCTAATATCATAGTCTACCCTGGTAATATAATTATGCTTTAACCACAGAATATTAACAGAAATTAATAATCACCATAATGACAACTTGAAAACAAAGTTGAACACACGAAGCATCACAACACTTCCAATTTAATAAAATATCATAATCTATACATATGCAATATATATTCCAAAAAATTTAATAATGATATTTATAAATATTAAATAAAAAATATATGTTACTTTCAAATATTAATTAAGGGCGGCCATGAATAAAAATCTAGTTGATTGACATAGAAAGATGATTATATACTATAAAAAAATATTTTTATATGGAGTATGCTTCAAGTATGAATGACACTTTTAAAATACATCGATAAATAAAAGGTTTATTTCAAATTTTCTTTATAAATATTTTTGTAAATTTTTTATAAATTTGCATATTATATATTAATAAGTTTGTGCTTTTCTTAAATAATAACCATGCGACAGTATTTTGTAGAGAATCAGATTACCACAAATAATGTTTCAATAACGTCCAAAATTATTACACTCTTGATGATTCTTTTAATGAAATACTGAGAATAATATAATGACAACAGATATCAATGATTACCAGGATTTCGAAGAGTTATTAATAAATTACTCTCCCGCAGCAACAAATCGATCGATTTTAATTTTTAAATTCTTTTTATATGCTAGTATGAGCTTAGAATAATCATGTTCGTATTAATTATTTTTTTAATTATATTTAATGAAAATAAATTTTTCAAATTAACGAAGGCAATTTGTTTTTAAATTTAAATAGAATTCTATAGCAAGTAGCTGAACTGAACTTTTATTACGAACCTGTAGAAAGGGCTTAAAAAAAGGAAAGCAATAAAAATAAAAATAAAAAAATTTAAAAACGCCTTACCGCAGCATATCGAATTAATATTATGTAAAAAGACCTATACCTCATTAAAAATGTGGATATAAATAAAACTTTTTGATATACTAATTAATTATAAAATATATGGGCCTTTGCAATAGAAAGGGAGGAAACTCCAAAAAAATTAAAATTTTAGTTTATAAGCCAAAAATGTTTCAAATACTATAATTTGTTCAGATTTATTATTAACTCATTTTTTATTTTTTTTTGAGTTTCCTTCCTTTCTATTGCAAAGGCCCCATATAATATATATCACCTGTATTTTATAATTTTTTTTTTTTTTAAATTTAAATATATAGTTACTCACTTAGATTATTACGAAACATACATTCACTCTGAATAAAATTTTTGTTATGCAAGGAAATTAAAAAAAATTATAATAATAAAAAAAAAAAAAATATTGACCCTATATTTCAAATAAAAGATAATCTTAAATTTGTAACAATACTGTTTGTTATATAATTTGTTATTGTTTGATATTCGAAAATCAATTCTGGTCAGAATTAAAATTTATTGAAGTTAAATTTATAATAAAGTTTAATGAGCGATTTATTTATTTTTTTTTTTTAATTATTAATTTTGTTTAGTTTTATCCGCGGATTTTAAAGTATTAACGAAATTGAAACTAAAGAACCTAATAAGTTATGCGTAACAATTATTTTATATATTTATATTTTTTTTTTTTTTTTTTTTTTTTTTTTGATGATGATATTGTATACCAAAAATTGACCAATAAATTTGCGGCGGAATTGTTACACGACGAAAAAACTTTACGATTTTCTGGGTGATTAAGCACCTTTACAACCCAACCCGCTACTAAATTCATGTAACTATTTGTCATGAACAAAAAAACCTCCCAATTTTCTGATTTTAACTTCTATGCTATATTGGAAAAATATTACGAAATACGTTCAAAATCATCATAAGATCCCATTTTTACAAAAAGATAGAATTTAGTTGACTGACGTCGTCTGAGTGTTAACCGAATACTCTTAAAATATTTAACGGGTCGGGATTTTCAAGCAATGGCTAAAAACCTTTGTTCATTAATCCATCAGATTCATCGAATGAAAGAGTTAGACCTTTGAAAATCACGAGTCGTAAATGTATTTGTTGTCAAAATAGGGTAACATTTATCAATTGATTGTTTATTAACATACTATAAACGAAGATAAGAAAGTCCGTCTGTAATAAGGATATAAAGGATTGTAATATGTCATTCAACAAAACGCAAGTTGAACTCTTCAAATTCCCGAATTCTTCAAAATCATTTCATAAAATTCGGGCTGTATTCGTAATGAAGCATCATGATTTTGAATTCTTTACTTTTTACGAATCCAACAACAAATCATTTTCGATTTACATGCTAAAATCTTCATCTTTGAAAAGATGAATTGGGATAATAGTAAAAAATGATGGATTCTCAAATTTGTTTAATCGACTTTGATAAATAAGAAATAAGAAAATTAGAAGTTCCTCGACAAA